TGGGTTCGAATCCCGCCGGTGCCTTTAACCCCCGCACCCATTTTTGGGGGGGACACCCCCACTTTAGGGGGACACACCTTGTTGAATACGGGACACTTCGTTTTGGGGAAAAAATCCCGAATTTTGGGAAAAAGACCCCGAATTTTGGGTGAAAAAAACCGAATTTTAGGGGGTTTTACTGGTTAAAATAAACGGGAGGTCACAGACCCCCCACCTATTTTTGGGGGACACCCCTCATTTAATGGGGACACCATTTAATATCCGAATTTTGGAAATAAAAATCCCAAATTTTGGGTGAAAAATCCCGAATTTTGGGTGGAAAAATCCTATTTTTAGGGGTTTATTTGGTTAAAATAAACGGGAGGTTGTGGGTTCGAATCCCGCCGGTGCCTTTAACCCCCGCACCCCATTTTTGGGGGGGGACACCCCCACTTTAGGGGGGACACCCCTAATTTAATTTCCGAATTTTAGGAAAAAAAAAATCCCGAATTTTGGGTGAAAAAACTCGAATTTTGGGTGAAAAAAACGGAATTTGGGGTGAAAAAACCCGAATTTTAGGGGTTTTCATATTGGTTAAAATAAACGGGAGGTTATGGGTTCGAATCCCGCCGGTGCCTTTAACCCCCGCACCCCATTTTTGGGGGGGTGTCACCCCCATTTTTTGGGGGTCACCCCCATTTTTTTGGGGTTGGCCCCCTTTTTTTTTGGGGTGCAGAGAACACACACGCAATGCAGGGGTGCACAAACCTTTATTTGGGGAGAAATTCCCATTTTTTAGGGGGGAAAATTCCCATTTTTGGGGGGAAAAAATCCGAATTTTGGGAGCGGGGTTTGGAGCCTTCGTGGAGGTTTGGGCGGGGCAGCGAGCGCGGGGATTTTTGGGGATTTTTGGGGTTTTTTGGGGTTTTTTGGGGTTTTTTTGGGGGTTTTTTTGGGTTTTTTTGAGTTTTTTTTTGGGGGATTATGGGGGTTTTTGGAGGGATTTTTTGGGGATTTATGGGAGATTTTTTTTGGGGTTTTTTG